TGCAGGATGTCCGGATATCTTATTAAGCAGCTTTTAGTGTTGAGGGTGTAACATAATCACCAATTTCTCCTATTGGCATAATTTATACATCTTATTCCCAATGTTAAATGACCGTTTTTTTTAACATCTCATTTCACATTGGGGTTTTATTATTCTTTTCCTTTATTTTTCATACATAACTAACAAGTTTTGTAAGGTTTCTATGCCTTCCAGCTTAAAGGAAGATTTGTGAGTATACAGTAATATTTCGTTTTGAACGTTCCTTCCGTGGGACCAGTGTACACGTTTTCTTGGCCCTCTATACGTTCTGTTTTAGCTCTGTAAACAAGATCCTTTACTAGGCAGTAACCGTTCGGTGAATAATTTGTTGCATTTCGGCAATTGCGTTTTTGCAGTCGCTATCCCCAGATCCAGTTTCTTATCATTTTGTTTGATTTACAAAGGAGGCCACATATGGAGCAAGTGTGAACATTGTGATATGCGATCACTCTTGGATTGACTGACCTTTTAGATCTTGCTCTCGTTTCTTGAAGATGATTCAAACAAGCAGATTGAAAACTGCTGAGTCCACTAAAACACGCTGATCTCCATTCTACCCGCTCCAAGGCTAAGCGCTCAAGGGAGTTTTGTGGTATATATATATATATATATATATATATATATATAGTGTATTTTTATTACTTCAAACGTTATTTTTAGTGGATACCCGTATTTATCTAAACGCTTAATCCATTAATTCTTTATATATAGTGCATAAATTGAAATGTGTCCAAATTAATTATCTTCTATCTGAAGATTGGCATCATGACAAGAAACACCGAAAAGAGGAGGGGTACATAGCAAAAAAAAAAAAAAAAACTACTACTAATAATAATAATAATAGTATATTCTTATTCATGTAAATCTTATTTTTAGTTTGAGAATAATGTCTGCCAGTGAAAGTATTCGAGGAACTTAATAAAGAAAATGTGTTGCGTCGCCATTTGTCAGGGCAAGCATCGACTGATCAAGCGTGCTTAAGATCGCCATGATCGACAACATCCTCAAAGAACATGGTACATGGAGGAAGAGATAGAAGAAGAAGAAGAAGAAGAAGAAGAAGAAGAAGAAGAAGAAAGAAAAGAAGATGAAATAGAGATGAATAAAACATTGTTTTATAAGATAGAATATATAGTTGTTAGCAAGATGCGAGTTATGGTGCCAAAGATACGAGTTCCGATACGTGTTATAAATTGGAGCTATCATAATTGAGGAAGTACAGAAATTAACTGTTTTGGAAGTGTTATAACAAACGATGGAAAAAAGTGGGTCAAAGGCAAACTTAGCTTACGGTCAAATCACGCTGAAACACCGGTTCTCGTACGATCACCGAAGTTAAGCAGCGTAGAGCCAGGTCAGTACTTAGATGGGGACCGCTTGGGAACACCTGGTACTATAAGCCCCAAAGTCCAACCCTTACCTCACAGTCGGTGGGGGTGTAAACAGTAGTGTCAGAGCTATGCCGCCCGGAACTTCGTTCCTGGTAGGGCCACCAAAGGCGGACAGGTCTGACACACACGCCGGCTAACAAGGGCTCTGGTGAAAATCCAAGGAGCGTCTGCATCGGTAACCGGCGGCTTCTGGTCGTTCCTGTCTCTGCGTCTGTGGGAACCCGCGGCAAGCAAGAACGTTATCCGAGTAGGCCTGGGTACCCTACTTCTGTAATTTATCCCAAGAATCTTCTTCTCATAATAGGAAGAAGCCGGCTCAATCCGCCCAGGGTGAATGCCGCATCAGTACAGTAGTAGTAAAGGCAAACAGGGGAGGTTGAAAATCTCGACTTGGATCATAACCAAAGAGGCAGCCGGGAACAGGCTAGGAACAACACTTACTCACATTAACTTGGTACACAAAGGTTTGTCTAACCTAACCAGTGGGAGGGCTCCACAGGAAACCACCCCGATGTGACATAGGTTGACCTAAAAGAGAAAATCAAGGCTAGCCCCGTTCAATCGAACCAAGCTCGCCTCAGTCACCCACCTTTCGCTGAAGACTGTCGAATGCAAGCGTTTTCTATCAGTTCTAATCTTCATCTTGAGCTGATGCTCAAAGAATCGGATCAGATTCTGATGAGAAAGACGTATGCCTCGCAAGACTTCCTCCATTCGCGTCGTCCAAATCACCATTCGGGCCGTGGCCCGCAGCGTGAGAAACAACATCAGTTTAAAACCGGAAAACGGGCTCGATACATTGTCACACGCGTATGCGCGATCAATGAGTACGAGCTGTTCGGGAGCGAGACGAGCCGTCAACTCGCCGACATGGCCCCATAAGGGGCGTACCCGGCGACAATGGTAGCATATTTAAGAAAGATAACAATACTCTATCGTATCATTGTGTCTCCGAGTCTTCTGGTTCATGTAATAATACATCCGAAAATCTCACATAAATTAACTGTCCTGTCAGAACAAACGACGTTATATGATTCTTATTGAAATTGGATATTTTTCGCTCTCTATGTGAACCGATAATAACTAGAAAAAGCGTTCAAACTCTTTTTGAATTTGCACTTTTTTTCCCGTTATAAATAATCACGACAGGAGGGCGAAAAGATGGCTGCCTCATCTTTGTAAATATCAGATTGCTGAATTATTAATAAACGACTTTTGATATCGCGCATTAAGTAAAAGGACAGCTTTCAATATCAGGTTAGATGCGTGTGATTGCTGCGTGAATCTCAGGGTTACACCCAAAATTTATCTATCTATCTATCTATCTATCTATCTATCTATCTATCTATCACATTCTGTTCATCATCTATCTCAGTCTATGTATATATATATATATATATATATATATATATATATATATATATATATATATATATGTATGTATCCGAAGCCCACGAAATAAATTGTAACGAAATGGATTTTAAGGATTCTGTATTCATTATTATATTGCTCTGTTCTTACATCTTTTATATATATATATATATATATATATATATATATATATATATATATATATATATATATATTTTTCTATTCCTATCTGTCCATACATCTATCTCAGTCTATTCCCATCTATCTATCTATCTATCTATCTATCTATCTATCTATCTATCTATCTATCTATCTATCTATCTCTTTAGAAACATAAATTACTGCATATATCTATCCGTTTATAAATATATATTACTGGAGCTATTTACCTATCTAGTAAAAATAATTATATATATATATATGCTCCTCACTGCTCGTTGCTATACAAATATAAATAGAAAATAATGCCTAGTAGTGAGCGCTGATAATAATAATAATAATAATAATAATAATAATAATAATAAAAAAGAGTGCTCGATGCAAAATAGCATAGCTAGAAGTTTTACTAAAACTAATTCTAAATTTTTTCCTCACCACCTTTTAAGATTAAACATAATATATTATTATTAATATTATAAAATGAATATGATTAATATTAATCAATATATAATTATATATAATATAATAAACTTATAATTATAATTAAGATATAATATAAAATAATATTAAGCTTTTTGATAATTTTATTTATTCATTTATTCTTGCTACTGTGCAATGCATAATGAAATTGGACATCAGTTCTCCGGTGCCTCACCCCCACCTCTCACACTCATACACCATCGAATGAAGAAATTAAAACACACACACAGACACACAAACACACACACAATCTCTCTCTCTCTCTCTCTCTCTCTCTCTCTCACACACACACATACACACACATACACACACGCACACACACACACACACACACATATATATAGCCTGAAGTGTAGAACACAAGTTCAATATATATATATATATATATATATATATATATATATATATATATATATACACAGGATGAAACAGCAAAATTGTCCAAATCGTGTAACAGCATGGGATAATTGTCCATCCTACAAAATGTTTATCTAGAAAAACACAAAAATAATTGAGTTTCTTTTTTTTTTCCAGATTTTCAGATAAAACGTTCTTGACACCATTTGTCGTAAGAATTACTGAAAAACCCTTTAAGTTCTTAAGCTAGAAAGAGAACTGATTAAAATCGTTATATTGTGAGAGGGAAAAGATCATTCAGGCCTTCAGTAATGGTACCAACATTCATACTTTGGCTTCCATCTTCAAAAAGAACCATCAAGAGAACGGTGAATAAGTTTAAAAATGAGGGAACAATAGAGAGGAAAACTAGATCAGAAGGTCCCAACAGCAACAGCTAAAAACATTCTTATTGAGCAAAGTAATGTCCAATAGTGTTATAAAAACCTCGGAGAATTCCAGTAATATATCTTTAATCATTTCTAAGATACAACGGTTTCAAGCTAATAATTAGAAAGAAAGAAAGAAAGAAAGAAAGAAAGAAAGAAAGAAAGAAAGAAAATAATGCTTGGAAGGGTAGAAAACGAAAGTAAACCTGATAAAAGAAAGAAAGAAAGAAAGAAAGAAAGAAAGAAAGAAGAGGGATAGAAAGAAAGGACCAAATTAGAAGGCACCAAAATGTTCGGTAGAAGAAAGAAACAAATGAAGAAAAAATACATTATTAAAGAGCAGAAAAAAAAAACTAAAAAAAAGGAAAATAAGAAATGAAAGAATTACCCAGCTTTCGTTTCCCCTTTTTTTCCTTCTCTCTTTCTCCCTCCCTCCCTCTCTTTCTTTTTCTTTTCCCTTATTTCTTTTTTGCCATCTCCCTGCTTCGTAATCTCTCACAATCACTCTATTTATAGATTTTGTGTTTATCTTGTAATTTGCCCCATCTATTGAGAGATTATGATTTGCAACGTGCCTCCATTTTGTTTATTTCAACATATTTTTTTTTTTTTTTTGGATAATTTTTCATTTTCATCATATCATTCCACGAGCTCGTTTTATTTTTTTGTTTTACCTCTTTCCATCATTAAACTGTTTCAAGACTCTCTTCGCTCTTATAAGAAATCAGAAACGATAATCCAGAGATTAACTGCGAATCCCACCACTGAATCATTTTTAATAGAGTAGAAAGAAAGAAAGAAAGAAAGAAAGAAAGAAAGAAAGAAAGAAAGAAAGAAAGAAAAAGTAATGCTTCGAAGTATAAGAAAAGAAAGCAATCTTATTAAAGAATGAAAAAAACGAAACAAAGCTAAGGAAGGAAGGAAGGAAGGAAGGAAGGAAGGAAGGAAGGAAGGAAAGCTAACTAACACTTGGAAAAAAATAAAAGAGAAATTATTCCAAAGAAAGAAAGAAAGAAAGAATGAAAAAAATAAATAAAGAAAGAACGAGAGAAAGAAATAAAGAAGGAAAGAAAGAAGAAAAGAAGAAGAAAAAAGTATTTTCCTTTCTTTCTTTCTTTCTTTCTTTCTTTCTTTCTTTCTTTCTCTCTCTCTCTCTCTCTCTCTCTCTCTCTCTTTTCTGTCTCTGTCCTTCACCTTCCATCTCTTTCTTTTTTCTTTCCTTATCTCGTTTTTTTGCTATCTACTAGCTTCGTAATCTCTCACAATCACTCTATTTATAGATTTTGTGTTTATCTTGTAATTGGCCTTCATCTATTAAGAGATTATACTCTGCAACGTGCCTCCATTTTGTTTATTTCAAAACATTTTTTTCTTTTCTTTTTTTGATATTTCTTTCATTTTCATCATATCATTTCACAAGCGCGTTTTAATTTTTTCGTTTTACCTCTTTCCATCATTAAAATGTTTCGAAACTCTCTTCCTCGGAGCAATGCAACTCTTATAGGAAATCAGAAGCGATAATCCCGAGATTAACTTTGAATACCACCACTGAATCATTTTGAACAGAGTAGAAAGAAAGAAAGAAAGAAAGAAAAGAAAGAAAGAAAGAAAGAAAGAAAGAAAGAAAGAAAAAGAAAAAGTAATGTTTCGAAATATATGAAAAGAAAGTAATCCTAATAAAGAGGGAAAAAAGGAAACAAGGCTTAGGAAGGAAGGAATGATGAAAGTAAGGAAGGCTAACTAGCGCTTTTAAGAAAATGAAAGAGAAAATATCTCAAATAAAGAAAGAAAGAAAAAAGAAAGAATAATTAATACTTCGAAGTATAGAAAAAAATGTAATTCTAATAAAGAATGAAAAAAGGAAACAAAGCAAAGAAAGAAAGAAAGAAAGAAAGAAAGAAAGAAAGAAAGAAAAATTAATATTTCGAAGTATAGAAAAAATGTAATTCTAATAAAGAATGAAAAAAGGATACAAAGCTAAGAAAGAAAGAAAGAAAGAAAGAAAGAAAGAAAGAAAAGAAAGAAAGAAAGGATGGCTAACTAACGCTTGAAAAGAAACAAAAGAGAAAATATCTCAAATAAAGAAAGAAAAAAAGGAAAGAAGGAAAAGTAATGATTGGAATATAGAAAAAGAAAGTAACCATAATAAAGAAAGAAAAAAGAAAGAAAAGAAAGAAGAAAAGAAGGAAAAATGTTAGAAGGCACCAAAAATTTAGCTAGAAGAAAAAATCTTCTTTTCAAAAAACTAAAAAGGAAAAAAAAATGAAAATGACGAATGAAAGAATTATAGCGTAATCCGAAACTCATTGCTACTGTTGAATATTTTATTTTCACTCGGTACTCGGCTCTTGAAGCAGTGTACCTAACTATGGAAAATGAGGTAAATATCTGTAAGGTACAACGTTTATTGTGTAATCATAGTAACGTTTGAAAAAAATACGAGACTAAATTTTTCATGCGTACAAAAAATAATTCTTTCTTCTTTTCTGGGCCCCGAGAGGATGTGGTTTCTGTCTTTTCTTCGGACGTTCGATCTTTTCCTTGTGGAAATATGACAGATTCTCTTTCTCCCCTCGTAAGTCGGACGTTTATAAAACTTATCCGATTCTCTTGCGTGTGCATATCCAAAATCCAATTGGGTTCACATCTTTGTTTATGTCGATGCATTCATTCATTTGAGGCCCGATTTTGCACTTTGTGGCTTTGGGAATACTTTCTTTATCAGTTCTCGGTATTGCTAGGTCTTCTGGGTTTTTTTTTAAGGTAACACTGCGTAGAAACTTACTTTGGTATGTCTTCGAATGCACTTGTAGCCTGCCTTACTTGTGAGTAAAGACTCACCTTTGCAACATCCTTTCGTCTTTCAGCTTCGGAAAGAAGGCATAAAACACATTTCTATAACTTGTTATCATGTTGTCTTTTTAGAAAAACACAAAACTTCACTTACGTTACGATTTCTTTCTTGGTGACTTTACTTTTTATTAAAAGTGTTTGGGGTCATTTTCTCTTTCGACGTTTAATCCGGCCAAAATATATTTGTTAAACGGACAAGAGAAAGTCGTAAAATAATAACTTTTTTCTGATAGCCAATTTTTTCGTCATTTCATTTCCCTTTTTTATTCTGCTTACCCTTACTTCTCGCGTGTGGAACTTTCTTCCAGCTTCTTGCTTTCCAGTCAACTTTGATCTTTTTTTTATCATTTCACCACAAGTAGGGCAATAAGGCTACTAAGACGCAAGGGGTTACTGAGAATATAAGAAAAAAAACATTATTAAGCAGAGGAAACAGTAAAAGAACAGGAATTAAGAAGACATAAGATAACGATTGGCATTGCATTTGAATTTTTGAAGCTACAAAAGAGTTCCATACGCTAGAAATACGAGAGAAGAAATTATTAGCATAGAACTTACGGTTATTTCTAGGCTTTATAACCGTAAAATGATGAGACCTAACCGCCAATCGAGTACTTCCCTTAAATTCATAATGTCTAGGTACCAGAGAGGAAAATTCATCAGAATAATTGCTATGGAAATATTTATAGAAAATGTAGAGGGAAGCTACGTTACGTCGGTGGGAAAGTGACTGAAGGCGAGGTGTCAGGTCATGACCAATAACATTGCAGATTCTTATTTTGGATGTTCGAACACGTTCTGAAGAGACACAGTACAAAGAAGAAGAATGGAGATTAGGAGGGATGGTCAAAAATACTAAAAGTTGCGCGGGATAGGAGGTTGTAGAGAGCCATGATCGGCGACGTTGTGAAGAAACACGGTACGTGCTTATTTTTTTGTTACCTGTCTTTAGCTATTTTCATTTTTCTTTCTGCTCTTCTTTTCGCTTGCAATTTTTTATTTTTATTTTGGCTTGCTGCTTGAATCCCACATGACACTCAGCTTTCTTCCTCAGTTCCACTGAGACCGAAATCAAAAAAAAAAAAATATTGTCTCCGTGGTTTTCAGTTAAGGCAGCATATAAACAAACGTTGAAAACCGACTTATCACTGCCTACAAGCCTCCACCGCCTACACATTTGAATCGTATTGCTATACCCATCCTTTTCATTGCCAGCCAGTTGCGCATATGTATATTCCAATACTGTTTTCTTTTCCTTTTCTTTCGTTTTTATCTGTTTTCTTTTCTTTCCTTCTTTTCACGAAGCTGCATTTCTTAATTAAATTAGGTTGCCTCAGTTTTGCGTTTGGCAAGTAGCCAAAATCCACTAAACCGGCATTTCTTGGAGTAAGCAGTTAAACATTTACGAAGCAATAGCCATTAACGTTCCTTTTTGTTTAATTCCTCTTGTTCTATTATTTTTTTATTATGAATTTCGATTTAAATTTTTATTTTTGGTTTCTGTTATCTTTTTGTAAAATTAACAAACTTTTCTATATTTGCTTTTGTTTATTTATCTATTTCGTAATGTGTGTTTTGCATTCTAGTGTTTTTGTTTACCTGACATTTAAATACATATATATATATATATATATATATATATATATATATATTTTAAATCCATGAATCATTCATACAAAAAACAAATATAGAGATTAATGATTTAAATATCTATATTTGTTTTTTGTATGAATGATTCATGAATTTATAAATTATAATTTGCACCTTTAACTGAAATATATATATATATATATATATATATATATATATATATATATATATATATATAAATAAATTTACTAATTTAAAATATGGTTCCATCATACACAGGAATTACCATGTTTCAAAAACAGAAACTAAAACTTCAAATTTAATTATAGAATTAAATTAAAATCCTAGTACTGTTCCATTTTCAAGCAAATTCCAAAATCCGCTTGAAAATGAAACAGTATTAGGATTTTAATTTAATTTATAATTAAATTTGAAGTTTTTAGTTTCTGTTTTTTAAACATGGAAATTCCTGTGTAGCGTTGGAACCATTTTTTAAATTAGTAAATTTATTATATTTATGCCCTGCAGAATTGTATTGGGTACTTTATTTTAAAAATAAAAAATAATTAATAAGAACACCGGTTTATAAATCTTACTGTTCTTTCTCTTTATTTTAATATATATATATATATATATATATATATATATATATATATATATATATATATATATATATAATGTTAATTTTAATTTTAAGTACGTAATGTATATAATGTTTATATACGTACATTATGTATGTTCCGAAGGTTTCGATAGCCGAGATGATAGCGGGGACAAGATCCCATTATCTATAAGATGCTTCCGTGGCATCTAAAATATCTTCTGACAACTAAGTCCAGCTTCAAGCCGGAGGATGCGCAAATGCTGACCACTGGCGCCTCATAACCAGCTGATCGAAAGAGATGAATCTCTACAGCTTAGAAAATCAGTCTATCCAGAGGAAAAGAAAACCCTCTTTTTGAATCCCCGATGCCTTGTGGTCATATCCAAGCACAGAAAAGGTTTTAAAAGTAAATCCAGACAGAAAATCTGAAGTTTAACCCCGGAGCCTTTGGTTGTCAACATTGACAACTTTCCAGCAACTCCTGCAGCCAAGCCGTCACCAAATGTCATGCCCTGTATTCCTTTGGTTTTTGTCGGTACGGCCGAGTGAGGTGGGGAGTATGTAGTCTGGTCAGCGCACAGCCCCCATATACCAACGCACAGGCCTGTACCCTAGAGAGTTTTGCCACCAAGGGACTGAATCTTGACCAAACAGGGAGATAAAAAGATGCCTAATATAAGCCTTGTTATCATAAATTTCTTCTTTTTGTTTCCTTCATTATTATTTTTTATATTTCTTCTTTTCCAACATTGTTTACCTTTTATATTCTCTTATCTCCATCCCTTTTTAAAAATTAATTCTTCACCCAATACAGCACCCAAGAGCCACTCAAAGTAAAGGGTTACTGAACGAGGTTGATGCAAGTCAGAAGTGCAGTTTATGAGGATATATAGGAAAGATAATGGTTAACTCATGATATGTAAAGGTTAAGATTATTGAAACATTCACTCGGGAATCTGTCCCACAAAACAGCTGCTAGTGGAAAGAAGCTGTTCGAGTGGAACTTCCTTCTTACTAATAGAATGCATAGGGAATGAGGATGATTCCTCCCAGTGCATGCGGCATGGCTGGTCTTAGCTTTGAAGGTCAGGACTGTTGGAATTAAGGAATGTATCTCGTCAGAGCATTTGCTATTAAAAGAGCTATAGACGAGAGAGAGGCTTGTGATGTTTCGTCTGTGGCATAGGTGTTGTAAAGTGGGAAATTATTCATTACCTGCATATTTTCCGTTGTCTATACAACTCAATTCAATTTGTAACCTTGCCCGAAGCAGTATTGATAGAATACAGGCTATATAGTTATAGCATGAATTAATTGAGGATGATTTTATTACAGGAATGATTTGATGATCAAAAAGAAAGGGAATATCAGTTAATCTCTCTTAGCAGATCACCCTTTCCCCTAACGTAGTCCCAGAAGTTCAATGGAAAAAGAACTGTCTTGTAAAATCCAATACTGACAAAACCAAACTATTAATGTTCCACCACCACCTAGAAGACCTCGAATTTTCACATATCATTATGGATGGGTGTTTTCTCAAAGATTCTCCTGGTCTGGAATGTCCATTAGGACTCAAGTTCTCTCCAGATCTCAAATGGAACTCGTATATACGATCTATTGCCGAAGATGCTGGAGAAAGGTCGCTCTATTGTACCGCTCCAGTAAGTATCTGATACCGCCTCTGTCTTTCTCTATTTAAAAGAGCCCGATCAGACCAAAAATGGAGCATTGCCGCCATACCTGGGCTGGAGTTTCCTCTCCCTTACTTACCTGTCTTGATAGAATTCAAAAGCGTCCTACGTGACCTACAATCCCTTTCTCACGGACGAGACGTTCCGAGCATCTCACTACTCTATCGCTACTTCTGTGACATTTATTCTAACGAGCAGAATCCCTTTAATCCCACTCACCCTGACGTTTATAATTGGGACCAGCCATGCCACGTACGAAAGAGCGAATCAGCCTCATCACCCACGTATTCCTATAGTAAGAAGTTCCATTTGGACAGCTTCTTCCCAAGAATTGTTACTTTGTGAAACAGACCCCCAGCAGGATGTTTTCCCAATGCTTTCTCTTTAAGTCTAGGGTTAACTGTTATACTTCTTTCACAACCCCATAGACTTCACTTCTCGCCCCTTCTTACGTTAGCACAACACTAACCTTCTAACTTGATTGTCTCTTGGGCCTTTGTCATTTGTCTGGAATTAATTAATAAATATGTTGGACACTATTGTAAGTGGGGGTAATATGCTGTCTAAGTAGTTCACCATTAGCAGTGGTTTGCCTATTTCACGCAGTTGGCGAGTATTGTATTTTGTTGATCTTATAAATAATACCATTTCATTTCCAACCTCCGTTTTGGTTATTCCTCATTCAGTGACCTTTTCTAGGCTACAATAAAAGGGATTGTCAGTGGTCAGGAATTTAAGCAAACATTACTAATTGAAATATGCTATTGTCCTCATCTTTGTTGTTCTTATCCCAACATTTTGTCTGTTGGACCCTTCGACCTCTATCAGGTGCATGTCATTCCAGATAACCAATATGCTATCAGATACATCATTTCTGTCAGAGTTTCTGGGATGAGGAGATATCATATTTATAACAAAAGGCTACGATAATTTTTTTGTATCAGGTGTTTTAATTTATCAAATATTTAAGACTAAAACTCATACTGTTTATAATATGCTATCCTTTCATGTTTCCTCCATACACTTCGAAGATAAAGTCACCAAGCCAATATACTAAATAGTTTCTGTTTGAATTTCTGGGATGAGGAGTTATCATTATTTGTATTATATACCTTATTTATCAACACTAATGTGTATATACCAATCCTTATAAATACGTTGGACATTATTGTAAGTTGGAGTAATATGCTGTCTAAGTAGTCCACCATAAGCAGTGGTTTACCTATTTCACGCCGTTGGCGAGTATTGCATTTTGTTGATGTTATAAAGATTATCATTTCATTTCCAAGCTCCGTTTTGGTTATTCCTAATTCAGTAACCTTTCTAGGTTACAATAAAAGGGATTGTCAGTGGTCAGGAATTTAAGCAAACATTACTAATTGAAATATGCTATTATCGTCGTCTTTATCTCGTATCCAAGAATTTAATTTCCTTTGTTTCTAATCGTTTCATTTATGAGTATGGCGTTGCTGATTAAGTAGATTGACTTTTCTATGAAAGAGTCGATGACATTTACTCCATGGCAATGTTGCTGGGAACGAGTTCGATTTCAATGAGCCTTTCTCTCTCGTCGTTTGAGCAATGGCCAGGATTAATATAGGCACTCCTAACAGAGTAAAACCATAATGTATATATACTATACTATATTATACTATACTCCAGCGTCGTTTTTCATATTTGAGTAGACGCTCTATTTATTTATTAGACAGTTATCTTTCTTTCATAACCCCATCAACTTAACAGCTCGCCCCTTCTTACGTTCGCACAATAACGCTCTACCTTGAGTGGCTCTTGGTCCTTGTATTGGTTGAACATTAATATTAATAATGTCAAATATTAATGAAGGCATTATTGATGGAAACAGGAAGTTATATGTATAATGTAAATGCACTGTTCATTTTTATTTTATGATAGGGGCACGTCACCAAGAAAGGATTGTTAGTGGTTAAGAATTTAAGCAAACATTACTAATTGCTATTATCGTCGTCGTCGTCGTCTTTATCTTGTATTCAAGAATTTAATTTCCTTCCTTTGTGATCGCTTCATTTATGATGATGGCTTTAATGAATATGTAGATCGACTCTTGCATGAAAGAGTCGATGATATTTACTCCATGGTAATGTTGCTGGGAACGAGTTCGATTTCAATGAGCCTTTCTCTCTTGTTTAACTTCTTCCTTTTCTTTTCTACTGGTAGCTTCGATGTTTTTGGTTCCGATGAGGATGGAACACCGCCACTTGGTACCGTATCGGTCTTGTGTTTCAAACAATTCTAAGCTTAAGTCCATCGGCTTTCAGTGTTATTTTGAGTTGGTTTTTGCATCTCCGAAGAGGGAAGTGACGTGATCTTTTTCCTGTAGTGAGATCACTTGTGCTATGACATGTGTAATATAAATACACTGCTTACGATAGTACTGTAAGAAGGCATTGAAAATCAAGAAGAAAGGGATTGTTAATGGTCAGGAATTAATCAAAGCATTACAAAGAGAATAGGGCTATTATAAGAATTATGTAAACGCATTGCCAATTAATATTACTAATGGATGTATTAAAGATCAGGAAAAAAGGAATCAGCAGTGTCCAGGATTAATGTAGGCGTTCCTAAAAGAGTAAAACCATCATGTATTTATACTATTAGGTTGGTGCAAAAATAATGACGTAATAATGTCGTTTTTTGACGTTAAAAATACGTCTAAAAACGACATTATTACGTCATTATTTTTGCACCAACCTAATATATTACACTGGACGCCACCGTCGTTTTTTTTTCATATTTGAGTAGACGCTCTATTTATCTATTTGTATATTTATTTATTTTCGTCTACCGACCGGAATATTCGAGAAATCTTATTAAAGAAAAATATACGCTAGATTCTAACCCGTGTTAAAAATAGATAACTTGTATTTAGGCAGCAAGAATTGACCCAACAGAGTTTGATTAAATGCCAATGATAATGCTTGTTTATTGTAACTTTTCATTTTCCAAATCCGATGTTGTATGTCAGGATTAAAGTTAGTAACGATTTTATTCCTGATGTACGCCTCATTTGGAAATATTATATGTATCATTATTTTTATATATTTACTGTTTTTCTACATTATCCATTTTATCCTTTCTTTCTCGCTTCTTTTTGCCGCCATCATCAGCATCAGCATCGTCATTTAAAATTTATTCTTTGTATTTCACCTATTTCGTTAGAACCAAAGGAGGCGGTGCTGAATTATTACGTGATATCTGACCCCTTTGATGGCAGTGAATGCTGGGCAATCTCCCCCATTCACCCAGATGAAAAGGAAACTGGAGGCAACGAAAATGTGGTTCTACAGAAGGATACTGAGAATTCCACAGACGAAGTGAGTAAGTAAAAGGAAATCTCAAAAAATGGTAACCAAAAAGGGACATAACACAAAGAAGAAGATGAAGAAGAAAAGAAGAAGTAGAAGAAGAAGAAAAAAGAAAAGAAGAAGAAGAAAAGAAGAAGAAGAAAAGAAGAAGAAAAAGGAAAGAAGTAGAAGAAGAAAAGAAGAAGAAGAAAAGAAGAAGAAGAAAAGAAGTAGAAGAAAAGAAGAAAAGAAGAAAAAGAAAAGAAGTAGAAGAAGAAAAGAAGAAGAAGAAAAAGAAAAGAAGAAGAATTTTCTTCGTTTATATTTTGTTGTGTTTTTGAGTACAACGCGCACATTTTCATTTCAATCTGTGCCTTTTTCTGACCCCAGAAATCCTTATCTTCCTTCCAGAAAGTCATTTTATTTTTATCGTCTGCCATTGATCATTTGCTAAACAGTTGGTCAGAATGTCTTCACTGTTCGACTGTAGCTTGTTTACTGAGCTATTTAAAATTTGGTATTCACCCGTTTCTCACTTGGAATTTATCCCCGGACTCTCAGTTTATTTTAATATTTTTTATTTTTATCTATTGCTTAGTTCTTTTTCCTCCTCTTTTGCATCAGTTTATTCTTTAATTCTTTCATCTATTCATGAATTCTGCCATCTTATTTCAATTCTACCAACTCTCCACACTTTTTTCTTTTTCCTTTTTCAACTATTGTTTTTTTCCTTTCATTCTTCTTTTCCTTCAATTCTGCAATCGTTCTGTTCATTTTTTCTTTCTCTTTTTTTCCATCTAGTGCCTCTTATTTTCATTTCATTTTTTTTCTTCACTCCCGACATCTCTCTACGTTTTTCTGTTTCTATTTTTCTTCTCCTCCTTACCGGTCTGTTCCTATCGTTACACTTTTCCTTCAATTTTAACCTCTCTCCGTATTTTCATTTCATTTTCTTTTTTCTTCGATCTTACCCCAATTAAGAAAAAAATGTTAGATCAAAAAGTCCATTTCAAAATGACACTCTTTTATGCTTGGATACGTGGGTGGTGAAATGGAGACCAGCTCGGGATGAGAAATTGTAGAGTCGAGTTCGAATTCCAATCGAGTTCGTTGTAATAGCCTACGCACTAATACCCTGAGAAAATGTATGAATCCATCTCTACTCCCATCCAGATACAGCCTAAATAGCTGGGTGAGAGGTTTTATAAACGAGAAATAAAAAATAATCCAACTAAATTTTCATGACAGGCGTGACTAAAAATTTCGATTTTTTACATTTTACTTGACATGCTTTTCTATTGGTTTCTTTGGTTGTTTTATTTTGTTTTACGCCATATCAACCTCAATGGGTTATTTAATGCTGACAAAATTTTTATTGCTGGCAATATTTTTTTTTACCAAAATCTATTGTTGGCAATGAGAAGAAGAAGAAGAAGAAGAAAAGAAGAAGAAGAAAAGAAGAAGAAGAAGAATTTTCTTGCGTTTATATTGCGTTTGTTGCGCACATTTTCAATTCAATCTGTACCTTTTGCTGACCCCAGAAATCCTTATCTTCCTTCCAAAAAATCATTTTATTTTTATCGTCTGCTACTGATCATTTGCTAATATATATATATATATATATATATATATATATATATATATATATATATATATATATATATATATATTTATTTGTAAATGTATTACTGGTAATTTTGTTTTTCTTCGAAAATTTATTGCTGGTAATAATTCTTTTACAAAAACGTATTGCTGACATTAAAACATATTTTTACACTTTCAAAGTGTTTTGACCCCAGTGTGGGGGTTAAATATTTGCCTATATATGGAACCCTAACAGGTGCTACCACCCCGGGTCAGGGTGGACCTGGGAAGACCAACAATTAAGAGGTGGTTCCATGCTCCTCAAAATCTCCTGATCAGAGGCCTTGCTGCTGGATGTAGTTTATCGTCATACCCAGGACGATTTTTCTATTGGTCTAATAATATATAAGAAACGCTCTTCTTATTATTATGTTCTTTTCGAATTTATTTATATATGTATATTTTTATTTTAGACTACCGGCCTGAATTTTCGAGAAATTATATTGAAGAAAAATATCTGCTTTCTGGGAGGATTTGAACCTGTTTCCCCCATAGCAAAAGGGGCCGTTGTTAGATCCGACGTGCTTTAAATCGTTTCGACCACAAAGTGTGTCGATGATAGAGCAAAGTTGGATATTGTGTTATATAAACGCAAATCTTTCTTAAACTCTTGAGATATTCATATCTACTCCGTTTCGTATCCTAAAGTAAACAAAGCAATTTCTAAAGAAGTGATGGATTTTTATTTATTCATCCGACAGATTTTATTACTTAAACGTTAATTTTAATGAATACCCATATTTGAATAGACGCCCGTTTTTTTGTTTTTTTTTATTGAAAGTCTACACAAATACGGGTATCCATTAAAAATAATGTTTAAATAATAAAATAATAAAATTCTTTGACAATCAAGAAAACGTCAAGGGAACTATTGCAAGCATTAATGATGGAATAAATTTATTATTATTGTTAATAATTTTATTATCAGTATGCACTGCTTACAATCTTTTTTTTATTTTATTAGTTAAACGCTAATTTTAGTGGATACCCATTTTTGAGTAGACGCCTCGTTCATTTATGAAACAGTATATTTGTTTACTTTAGTCTACCTGCCTGAATATTCGAGAAATCTTATTAAAGGAAAAATATGTGCTCTTTGGCAGGATTCGAACCTGCATCCAAGGGAGTAGGAGAAAACATCGTTTGATTTAACGTGCTTTAAACCGTCTCGCCCACGAAGTACGCTGATGATATGACAAAGTTGAATAGTGCCTTATCAATTCAAATCTTTTTTAGCCTCTCGAAACATTCATATCTGGTCCGTTTCGTATCCTAACGTAAACAAAGCAATTTCTAAAGAAGTGATGGATTTTTATTTATTCATCCGACAGATTTTATTACTTAAACGTTAATTTTAGTGTAGATCCATATTTGAGTAGATGTTTTCTTATTTATTGAACGTCTACACAAAGACGGGTATCCACTAAAAAATAATGTTTAAATAATAAAATAATAATGCTGCTGGTGAATCTTATGTGTGTTGTTCGTGTCCTAAGTATTATCATTCATTATGAACCTTCATGTGATTATTATATTCAATTCCCAAGGGTATTAGCACATATGTGAATGCAATGGATCCAACTGGAATTTAAACTTTGCTATCCATTACATTCACTTACGTGCTAATACCCTTGAGAAAGGTATGAATCCTCTTCTTCTCCCCCTCCCCAGCTATGGGTAAATAACAGGACAGATCGGGTTCTATAGCCTTGGATGGCAAATGGTCTACTGCAGAAAGAAATGGCAACCTACTGTGGGGAAAAAAATCTGCCTTGTGAGTCATGAATCAAAAGATACATGATTGCCTAAGCGTGTATCATGCATGGCACATAACTGAAGTGATATTTATTTATTTTTGTCTACTGGCCCGAATATTTAAGAAATCTTATTAAAGAAAAATATTCACTCTCCAAGAGGTTTCAAACCTGTGTCCTTCCCAGGCAGGGGAAACCATTGTCAGCTGATTGTCAAGGATGAAGTGCGTCGACGATCATGCGAAGTCGAATGAGTGCCTTATAAACGCAAATCTTTCTTAAACTCTCGAAACATTCATATCTGCTTAGTTTCGTATCTTAATGTAAACAAAGCAATTTCTAAAGAAGTGATGCATTTTTATTTATTAATCCAACAGATTTTATTAATTAAACGTTATTTTTTAGTGGATACCCATACTGTTTAATAAATAAATAGGGCGTCTACTCAAATATGTGTCTACTAAAAATATATCATGAGTTATGATCTATTTTGCCTATCAATTCTTTCAGATATGTAGAGATTTTCCTTCAATTTGTTTATTTACTTAAGGCTACACCGAATGTTGACTCGCTCGGTCAAATTTAGAAAGAATTACAAAAATAACTTGTATTTTTGTATATCTAACAAACAGGAACTAAAAAGAATGAAAGACGATACGGAATAAATGCTAAGAATTTGGAGATAATCGGATATATTTTTCTAAAGTTAAACCATCCAATCGTATATTTTAACGGAGAAATGGTCACTGGCCTATTGCTGCTGTAATACTAAGGCGGACACGTCGACCAGAGAACCTTCATATATTCGTCCTTCTAAATGCCGTTTACATCTTTGTTCCATAGTAAGACATTTTTAATATTGATCGAAGTTTAAGTTTAACACAAGGTCATGTATACGGATCACAAAGTTAGAAACAAACTCCCTACCAATCGCTAGCGAGAGTTCTTCTTCTTTTTATGTGCCGTATCCCTTCAAGGCGTAGGCAATCATGGCTCTCTACATCTTCCTGTCCTTTGTAGCTGTTGTTACCTAGGAAGGGTTATTAAATGAGGAATAACCAAAACGGAAATGGTAATCTTTATAACATCAGCAAAATACAATACTCGCCAGCGGCGTGAAATAGGTAAACAACTGCTAGTGGTGGACTACTTATACAGCATATTACCTCCACTTACAATAGTGTCCAAAGTATTTATGAGGATTGGGACATACCCATTAGTGTTCATAGGTACAGTATATAACACTAGCTATCAATAAATTTTGTCTTTTTGTTATTTCACCCAGACCCCGCTCTGACATCCACTTGCTTAAGCCCATAAAGTATGTCACGCATGGCTTTCCCTTGTCCCCGTTTCCCTTTATCCGCCCTTTGAGTATCAGACTTTTCAAGCCTTCCTTTCTCATTACGTGTACGAGAAATTTCAGCTATCTCTTTCTAATGATAAGTATACGTTTCCTCTTTGTTTGCATCCTCTCCAAAACCTCATCGTTGCTCTCATGTCCTGTCTATGGTATCCTCAGCATCCTTCTGTAGAAGAATACCTCTGCTGCCTCGCGTCACTTCATCTTTGAGGAGACCGTCCAACCTTCGCTGCTGTAAAGGAGGACAGATGTCACGTAACAGCTCAGTACTCTTTTCTTTGTTACCAAATAAATTCTCCTGTCTCGCAACACTCCGACCAGCTTTTTGAATGCGTCCTTGGCCATCCTAATACGTCAACGGATCTCAGTGTCGCACTTACCTTCCTCTGTCAAAACACTTCCCAGATTTTTAAACTTCCGCTCCTGCTTGATTTTAGTATCCCCGACCTGCAAATCGCATTTCAGGCTCATCCTTTTACTGATGGCAATGCATTCTGTCTTCTTGTAGTTTATGCTTAGTCCCTTCTTATCGCTCTTCTTCGCTAACTTCTGTAGGAGGTTTTGTAATTTCTTTTCTGTGTCTGCAATCAGTACT